TACCTGGCCACCCACCCACCTCTCCTGTACCCTGTCACTCTATACCACTGGACTCTGGACATCTCATTCTCGGAACCCTCTGTGTCTCTCATGGCTCAGCTGGGACAGTTGGGCTCACACTGCCCAGTTATTTCAGGGTGAGATGAGCACCTAATTGACAGGATATGATTGGTGATATAGTGGCTGTTTCAGAGCTGAGGTCCTGTCATGCTGAGGCCCACAGCTCCCCAGCTTGGTCAAGCACAGAGAACCCCTGATTTCAGCAATGAGAAGCGCAGCTGAGGCCGCGGAGGTGGGGCTGCCAGGTTGGCTTCTCTTTCTTCCTGCTTCCTACCTGCACCTGTCCCTCATTGTTGCCTCACTGAGCTGCTCCAGGAGTTCAGGTTCTAAGGGACTGGCCCTGACTTGTGAAAAGAGCGCATAGAAGGAATGACAGGTTCACAGCCCCAGAGACTCCTAAGCCAAGACTGTTGAGTTGCTGCGAAGCTGAGCATTGGGTGTCAGAAACCCCAGGCAAAAGCGTCACGTGAGCCTGCTGGGCCAAGAGCCTGGGCCCCTAGTCCTTCTGAGACTCGAGTAACCAGAGCTGTATCGTCCTAGACCTCCCCGTGAAGCCGGGATCCTTGAGAACAGGTCTCCTCATGGGAGCATTTGTGGAGTGTTTGTAGGTGTGTCCCTTGAGGACGCCCATCGGGTCAGGGCAGGTTTCCGAGTCTGTCCCCAGGAGCTTCATCTTTGGTCCCTTCCTCCTGGGCCCCACCACACAGCTCCCGACCCCCCAGGCCTGCCTCTTCACCATGCTTCTGTCAACTGAGTGGCATGAAAGAATGTTCAGGAAGGGAAACAGCCTGGCTACCTCTTCCCTGCCAGCATCTTTTCCTCTCCCTGCCCATCTGCTCCCTCCCTTCCGTCTGCCTGTATCTTGGAGCAGTTCCCGTGCCGATCACTTGAGTCGAATCCTAAGTGGGATGGGTGGGGTCAGGCTGATCCCACTCATTGTCTGGGCTGCAGCTGTTCCTGCAAACTGCCGTCTAGACCATGTGTAGGCGCATGGCAGTGTCTACGCAGATGTGACACCTTCTCGGTGCTCTCCAGGGAACCAGGAAAGGAGGAGGCTCGGTGTCTCAGGAAGATAGAGGGTGGCATCAGAATACAGTGATAAGGGTACTGTGAGGGGCAGGGGGTGGCTCTGGCAGGTGCAGGTCTGCTGACCCTGACAGGAACCATCCCCAGTTGAAGGGAAGGCATCCGTTCATTTGTGGAGTATTCGCTGGGCTAGGCACCAGGGTCTGATGGGTTGTTTTCGTGATGGAATTTTGGAGGGAAGTTTTTCTAGCGGTGAGGGAAAACACAGCATGCAGACACACAGACACATCACTGCGGCCTGTGGGAAGTGCCGTGAAGGGAGTGACGGGACCGTGAGGCTGTGGAGGGTCTCTGAAGAAGCGGTGCCTCAGCTGAGAAGGCTGCCGAGAGCTTAGCTAAGCGCAGAGCGGAACATCACGCCAGACAGTTTGCAGGCTTTTTGTGGTGCTGCTGGAAGCACTTTGGTTCTTCCCTGCTTTGTGTGCGTCTGTTTCCAGCATGACCTTCCTTGGCAGAAACCACAGCCAAACCCAGCTGTGGTTTCTGTTCCACCTGCAGACTGCTGGGCTCGCTGAGTGGTGTGGTCCTCGGGTCCTCTCCTGCTCTCCAGTTCACTACAAGTAGTCTCCCAGGGTTTGGAACAAAAAGTGAAACAGCAGCACACGTGAGGATTTAAGATACTTGGTGAATGCTCACCTGTTCGGAGGCCTTTCAGAAGTATCAGCAAAAACAAGCCAAAGAAAAAGAGACACATAACTACATAAATGTGTATCTATTTTTGATCATTTAGAATAAGTTAAAAGATGAAGGAAAAAACTACATTCTATGTCAGTTATAACCTTGATATGTGAAGAGCTCCTAAAAATGGTAACACAGGCCAGGCATGGTGGTACATGGCTGTATTCCGACCTCTCCAGAGGCTGAGGCTGGAGGACCACCATGAGTTTGAGGCCACCCTAGGTTACACAGTGAGTTCAAGGTCAGCCTGGACTACATAATGAGACCCTGTCTCAAAAAACAAAAAGCACGGGCTGGGGATTTGGCTCAGTGGTGCTGCTGCTGGCCTTGTAAGCACAAGGTCCTGAGTTTGATCCCTGGTACCAAAAAAAAAAACAACAAAAAAAAAAACAAAACAAAAAGCAGTAACACTAATTTATGCATAACAAAAATAGAGAAAGTGTAAAGAAAATTTCATAAAGTAAATAATACAACCAATAAACATTTGAAATTAATTCAGTCCCAGAAATAAAGAATTATGAACTTGGGGGGATTTAGCTCAGTGGTGCCACTTCACAAGCACGAGGTCCTAAGTTCAATCTCCGGTACCAAAAAATAACTATGAATTTTTAAAAAATGTAATACTCTTCATGACCCATCAAAGTGTTCATTTACCAAAAAAAAAGAGGGGGGTATTTATTTTTATTTGGAAACAGCATCTCACTTTGTAGTTCAGGCTGGCCTCAAACTCAGAGCAATCCTCCTGCCTCAGCCTCCCAAGTGCTGGGATTAGAGATGTGTCCCATGACACCCAGGGCAAAGTGACCATTTATAAGAGCAATGGAAAACTCAGTCCTGTGCAGCTTCTGGGACACTCCACATAGATGATGGGACTGTAAGTTGGCATAGCCTTCTGGAGAACAGCCTGAGGGTATATGCTAAACACGTCTAAAACATTTACCCCATTGCCCCTACAGTTCCATTTCTTGGAATTTATTGTGATGGCGAGAGAGAGGAATACCAAGATGTATGCGCATGCCTATTAATAAAAAATAGAGAGGAATAGCCGGGTGTGGTGGCACATGCCTGTAATCCCAGCACTCGGGAGGCTGAGGCAGGAGGATCACTGTGAGGTTCGAGACCAGCCTGGGCTACAAAGTGAGTTCTAGGTCAGTCTCAACTACCTAGTGAGACCCTGTCTCAAAAAACAAACAAACAAATACAGAAGAGAGCAGCCAGATAAATAACAATGTGTTTATGTTGAGACCTTAGCTGTCTCAAATGATGCTACAGAAGAGGATTGCCAGCGGTGCTGATAATGGTTCTTTCTTTTGTTTTTTGACAGTTTTATTAGAATATATTTCACATGCTATAAATTTCACTCTAATAGGTGGCATAAAAGGAAGCGCATGAAATGGCATCACAGTACGATCCAAAATTTTTGTTTGTTTGTTTTTTGTTTTTTTTTTGTACCTGGGATCAAAGTCAGGACCTTGCGCTTGCGAGGCAGGTGGCAGCAGCACCACTGAGCTAAACACCACCCCCCTCGGATTTTTGTAATAATGAAAGCTGTATGAGCATAATCAAAGGAAACGTCTGCCTGAAGAGGTTTTTTGTTGTTGTTTTCCTTTTCTTTTTTGTGTAGTGTTAGGGACTGACTCCAGGGCATATGCGTGCTAGGCATGCAGTCTCTGTTTTCTGGTGTTTCTAGTAATGCCAGTTACTTTGGTGGGAAGGAGAAAAACTGCAGGAGAAGCTTGTGGTTCTGCATTTCTGCGCCCTTTGGGGAAACATGAAGGGTATCTCCCTCATGTAGCTATCATGCCCCCTTTCCGGGGCCCCTGTCACCACTCGTGGCAACACAAACTAGGTGCAGCCTGCTGCTTACACACCATCTCTTTTTAGGGGGAGAAAGCTTATTGGAGATCAAATCCAGGGCCTTTGTACTGAGCTACATCTACAGCCCTTTTAGATTTTTGGATTTTAATACAGGGTCTGCCTAAGTTGCCTGGGCTGGGCTCACAATTGCCTGGGCTGGGCTCAGAATTGCAGTCTTCCTGCCTCAGCCTCCTAGAGTGCTGGGATTAGAGGGATAGCCACCATACCTGATGTTTACCTCTCTACAATTGCTTTATGAAGCCCCTCTATCTGGCCCTCGCCCAGCCCGCCCTGGTGTCACCTGCTCAGGGAACTTTCTTCTGAGTCCTCAGCCCATAGTAGGCATCCCTGTGACCTCTGCCTTTCGCCCTCCAGGTTCAGCTTTTCCAGAGTGTTTGACTTTGGAGACTTCAATGGAGCAGCTACTTTCTTTTTTTTTTTTTTTTTTAAGTCTGTATCAAGATGTTAGTGTCTTCTGGAATGTGGCTCCTTGGTCCACCCTTCTTTCGAACCCTGGAGGAGATGGGGATTCGCAGGCAAACCAAAGTGCTTAGCAGTCTCCTGTGGTGGTCTTTACCCAACTCTTTGTTTTTTTCCTTAAAAATAATTGAAGAAAATTTGAAAATGAGAGAAGAAATAGAAGGCCAACCCCCCCGTTAGGAAATTTGGGGTTCTTCCATTGAAGAGGACCTAAGGGCCAAGGCGTTTAGGGGAGGAAGTCTTTTGGGCAGTGGTCCTCAAACTCTGTGGGTATCAGATACACCAGGCCTCATGTGTAACACGTGTGTCCCACGCCCCCATACCCTGGCACTCTAAAGGTGGCTCGGGAATAGGCTCCTTTGCCTGTGGTTATTTGGAGGGAAGGCTTCTCACTTTGGAAACTGGGGCTCATTTCAGTGGGGCCGGCTCCCCTCCACCTTTAGGGCTCCTATTTGGCTTTAGCTTCTACAGCAAAACTCGGTCTCCTCTTTTCTGCATTTCACCAGCCCCTTGTGGTGGGCAGGGTCCCCTCTTCTGTGGCCTGTATCTGCTGTCTTAAAGCAGCTTACTAATCCCAAGTAAAGGAGCTATGGTTCTCATCACGGGAAACCTGAGACGCTCCTCTGGGTAGTGAGGAGGTGGCAGCAGTGGGAACCACAACGCAGCTGTGACACATCCTGAAGAGAGACTCACAGGCAGGATTAGTGTAAAAAAAAAAGTAAATTTAGCTCAGTGGTTCTACGTGCCTTGCAAGTGTAAGGACCCGAGTTCAGTCCCCAGTACCAAAAAAAAAGTAGCTGACTTACTCAGTGAGAGGGGATCTCTTCTGTTTTATCTAGAGCTGAGAATGAAGCGGAGAGCATCAGACAGAGGAGCTGGGGAAACGTCGGCCAGGGTAAAGGCTCTGGGGAGTGGGATTTCCGGAAATAATGCAAAGCGAGCTGGACCATTCATTCTTGGTAAGCTTTGGGCCACCAGGGGATGGTTATGCTGGGGCAGAGCAGGGCACAGATGCATGGGCTTGCACAGTCTGACATGCAGACAGCAGAATGAGATATCTGCACACAACCATATAGGGTCTTGACCAGGCCTCTGCCTGGACTCACACTTCACCGCTTAATCTTCTTTCTTTATTATTTTTGCAGTGCTTGAGATCAAACTCAGGGCTCTATGCATGCTAGGCAGGCACTGTACCACTGAGCTACATCCCCAGCGCTCACTTCACCACTTTAAATGGAACATATTTATATCGGCGAAATACCAGGCCCTTAGTCACTCTTAACAGTGGTCGTCAGTTTTGTTGTAGCCATACCACCAGCCTTAGATGAGCCTCAGCAGAGAGTTAGACTCTGTTTCTTACCCAGAGGATCCTGCATGTGCCCTGAGAATTCCGTGTGCCTAGAAAAAGCACACAGCTGCATTAGAACCCAAGATCTAGGCTGAGAATGTAGCTCCATGGTAGAGCCCTTGCCTAGTATGTCCAAATCCCCAGGTTCTATCCCTAGTGCTACAAAAAGGAGTGAGAATCCACACCAAGAGCCATCATCTAAGTCCCTGTCTTAACTTTTTTTTTTTTTTTTTGCACCAGGGATCGAAATCAGGCCCTTGCGCTTGTGAGGCAGGCAGCTGAACCACTGAGCCAAATCCTCGGCCCCTTGCCTTAACTATTTTTGAAGGGCCTGTTTAGTTCACAGAGTGTCTTATTCCCCTTCCCCACACCTTCTTATAAAATAGATGCAGAAGAGCCCGTGTTCTGTGGTTCTGCCACCTGCCTTGCAAGCGCAAGGACCGGAGTTGGATCCCCAGTACCAAAAAAATAAGCAGAAATCCTGTAGAATTGAGCACTCTCAGGGGGAAGAGTGGGCTTTCTGCATAATGCCTGAGGCCCAGGAAGTCTAGGTAACCAATTGTCAGGGTTGCAGGTGAGGTGGCACTCTTAATCTCCCATGCCAGAGGCTGGTATGATTTCTGCTTACTGGCCCATGATGGTTGTAGCTCGTTAGTGGTGCCCGCTGTGCACCAGTGCTGGGGTGTCTGCTGGGCAGGCAGCAGTGATAAAGACAGATAAGTTTTCCTACCCTCACGGAATTTAACATTCTGGTTAGAGAAACAATAAACAGGAAGCAAGATCATCACCTTGCTACTAAGTGCTGGAAGGAAGTGGAAGCACACAGGGTGGTGTGAGTGAAAAGGGCTTGGCCAGGCGTGGTGGCCCACTTCTGTAATCCCAGCACTCTGCTGAGGCAGGAAGATCACTGCAAGTTCAAGACCAACCTGGGCTGCATAGTGAGTTCGAGAACAGCCTGGACTATAAAGGGAGACCCTGTCTCAAAACCAAACAAACATACAAACAAACACCATAGAAACCTGTTGCAGTTGTAATGTCCTGGATTCTCTCACTGGAGTGGCTGAGTCAGAGCTCATGTGGCAGCTATTTTCACAGATGCTCCCCAGAATTTCCAGCATATATCCAATTATACTCCCTTTTCTATTCTTTCTTTATTTTGTTCTTACCTTGTCTTATTTCCTCCCCGCCCCCCCACTTTTTTTGAGACAAGGCCTCATATGGTAGCCCAGACTGACTTTTTCTTTAAAGGTCCTTTTTTTTTTTGGTATCAGGGATCAAACTCAGGACCTTGCACTTGCAAGGCAGGTGGTGGCACCACTGAGCTAAATCCCTGGCAGCCCAGACTGACTTCTGCCCTTCCTGTCAAGTCCTGGGATTATAGGCATGTGTCACCATACCCAGCCTGAAAATCCCTCTTTTTGAGGAATGTGCCAGCAAAAGCCAGGTAGAATTCAGATAGATGCACATATATTCCTCTTCATTTTTTGAGAGAAAACCATGAGAATTCTCCATCAGGAGACGTTGGGGTGGACTGTTCAGTGGGCACAAACCGTGGTACCTACCTGAAGAGCAGATCAGTCAGACAGCAGTATGGTGGTGTGGAGGAGCGCTAGACAGGGCTCCTAAAAGGTAAGCAGGTGGCCCTCTGTGCCATAGGTCCTCGTCTGGGCAACTCACCGGTGCCGAGCATTGTGCAGTGTTTGGCCAGGAAAGATGGCACAGATGACTTCTATCAGCTCAAGGTAAGCAAGACAGAGGGCAGGGGACCTTGGGACTCAGAGCCTGTCCTGGTGCCTCTCTCCTCCCTCCTCTCCACCTTTGAACCTGTATCACTTGGGAACAAAAGTATCCCCACTTCTTCTTGCAAAGCCACCAAGTTCAACCTTGCTCAGAACAACTCTTGATTTAAAGAGCTTTAGACATAAAAATTAAGAAAACTGTCACATCAAGAAAAATGGATAGGGTCCAGGATTTAGCCCAGTGGTTCCACCACCTGCCTCGCAAGCAAAAGGTCCTGGGTTTGATTCCCTGGTACCAAAAGAAAAAAGAAAAATGCATAGCCAGGCGTAGTGGCCCATGCTGTAATCCTAGCGCTCAGGAGGCAGAGGCAGGAGGATCACCGTGAGTTTGAGGCCTACCTGGGCTATATAGTGAGTTCAGGGCCAGCGTGAACTACAGAGGAAGACCTTGCCTCAAAACAACAACCAAAAAAGGGGTTTTAGCTCAGTGGTTCCACCACCTGCCTCACAAGTGCAAGGTCCCAAGTTCGATCCCTGGTACCAAAAAAAAAGAAATACAGCTTTCCTCCGTATGTTTATATGTGAGCCATGTAACGTGATGATAGAAAGCTACCCCTACTTCCCATTGTAGACATTTCCCTATGTAAAGGAAAAGGAAGGTGCTTGGTCTTTTGATTTTCTTCTTGTGCTTCCCTAAAGATCCTTACTCTGGAGGAGAGGGGTGACCAAGGCATAGAGAGTCAGGAGGAGAGGCAAGGCAAGATGCTGCTGCACACCGAGTACTCTCTGCTCTCCCTCCTGCACACGCAGGACGGCGTGGTCCACCACCACGGGCTCTTCCAGGTGAGTGCCCTCTCCCCTCACCCCTCGGCTGGCTCCAGGGGCTGGCACTAGCTGGGGTTCTATCCGTCCCGTGAGCAGCTCCCAGCGTGTGACTCCCTCCTCGTGTTCCTACCCTGCTAAGTGCATCAGGACCTCGCAGGGTGGGCTGGAGGTCAGGCTGGGGCCGCACTAGCTGCTGCAGTGCTCCTGTGGCCGTAGTCTCAGGCTAGCAGAAATATATTCACTTGGCATCTTCACACCGCCAGGCTTTCTTTGAAGGACTGCTTTTCCGAGAAAACAGGAAAACAGGAAGACATCCAAGGTTTCCAGCTGTGCTGTCAACCATTGGCCAGGCTGGAGGGGCAGGGAGGACAATGAGGGGAACTGGTGTTTGCGGCCACCTGCAGGCCTCCACAGTTGCTCTGGGGACCGGCGGTCCCTTTTGCCTACCGAGGCCTTTCAGTTTGTTCAGCACATGTCCTTGAGCTCCTGTGTCACGTGATCCCGGTCTTTTAGGAAAGAATCTGATCAGCAACTTGGACGCTGAAAAGAACCCTGTGGGACAGAACTGAAATTGTGTCCGTGGCAGGAAGACTTGGGTTTAGGATGACTACGAGTCTCTTCCTCAGGCCTGGGAGCAGCCCCCTCCCTGGCAGCCAGTTTCCAGTCAGGACTGGCCTCTGCTGAGGCGGACTGATGTTTAGGAGGGTTCACTGGGCCAGGGAGACACACAGGTTTTGAGGCTGACAGTCCTAGATTCGGGTTGTGTGCCCCTAGGCAAGTCATTTCAGGTCTCAGCTTCAGATTCCTCATCTATAAAATGTGGAGAATGATAAAGGCCCCTCCGTGATAGTGTCAGGAAGGTGAGAACAGACCAAGTGGCTGCGATACACTCTCATCGTCCTTGCTGTTTCAGGCAATAAATAGTCCTTGTCAACTCCATTTCCTGACATAAATGGGGAGTGCATCCCTCTCCCATGTCCACGCTCTTTCAAGCTCTTGTTTTTAGATTTACAGCTACACTGATGACCTCAGTTGTGGAATGGCTCCAAGCTCAAACTTCCTAGTACTCAGACAGCAAAGCACAAAAAGAAATCTGCTCATTGTTCGTAACTTTGCTCAATAGACAAGCAGAAATCTGACTTGAAAAAACCTGTATGGTCCAAGAGTGAGTCTCGCATCTCGTTTCCCTTCAGCATGGTATCAAATTGAGGGTGATTGTGATTTATTGGTATTCATCTCTGACATCTTCACAATCTTGGCCTTTGCTGGGTGTGGTAGTATATACCTCTAACCCCAATATTCAGGAGGCTGAGGGTTGAGGATCACCACTAATTCAAGGCCAGCCTAAACTAGATAATAAAACAACACAGAACAGCAACAACAAAATAAAAAGTGTGCTTTTCCTTTATGGCCTTTTGGATAAGAGGACCTAGGTGAACAAAAGTGTTACTTCTAGGGCCGGGGATTTAGCTCAGTGGCTCTGCCGCCTGCCTCAAGCTCAAGGTCCTGAGTTTGATCCCCAGTACCAAAA